CACTTTCTCTGGACACCACATGGTGACCACAATTTCAAACTGTGTTGTGTAGTCTATGAAAGGAAGTGGGTTTAATGTTTAGGTTATATTTTGTTCTGGGTTTTTTTCCTGAACTGTCATATTTTATAATTCAAAAGCCAGAGAGGTGCCCTTGGCCTGCAGGGTTTCAATTCGTGAGTTGAAATTTGAATTGAATTGGCTCAGCCCAACAGGAAGTTGAAAAAGTTGACTGGAAGAGTCCTTCTGTTTAATTCATCTTAATTGTTCTGTACATTCATTCCATACATACATTTTTAAATTCCAATTCTGCATGTCGTTTGCTACCTCAGTTTAAATTCAATTCAAATTCAGGAACTGGCATTCTCAATTCAATTCTAAATGGTGCACAACCCCAATGGCTTGAAATAATCATGCATATTCTTTTAAAAAAGGTTTTCTAATCATAAATTACTAAGCTTCCCATTCAAAGCCAGAATCTTATGTTTAGCTAGAGTCAGACAATTCTTTTTACGTACTTTCATTATTAATTATATTGAGCTTGAGAAGTTAGATATTTAAATTCTCATTTAACCCATATCATTCTATATTAGCCTGTATTAAAGCACCCTCTTATTCCCTGTTGGTTTTGGGGCTCCAAACAGTAAACTTTGGGCCATAGACTCGTCTGGTCCACCTCTTCATATGCAGTATTAATTAACTAATGATATAGTGGCGTGCTGGAGATTATGTCACCAGAGGTGCATTAATTTCAATAGAAGGGGGTGGATTAGAGCAGGTCTTGCCTGAATGCAGAGAAACCGTTTGAGAGCTCAACTGGCCAAAAACGAACATAAGGTCCATTTGCATAAAGGTCAGACCATTTGTGTGTAGGTTTCCCATCCAGATCTCATCAACCATCTCCACCAAGTTTCATGTACAACTCAAATACACTACAAGAATAAACTGATGGAAGATGAGATATTAAAAAAGATAGAGCCTGATCGTGAGATATATTCCAGACCCTTTATCTGTCTATCTCTTCAGCTCTTGTTGTTATCAAATGATACAGTTGCTCAAGCACAGCGTTTGAATCCTAAGGACCTTAGGGAGTGGATTTGTCTCTCGCAAACCCCCTTCTAACGGGGATTAAGGGGATTAGACACCAGAAAATGACCAAGCGCAAACTCCCTGAGCAGCCTAGGCCTTCCCAGCACCCCTGTCCAGGGATGGACCTGAGGCTGGTTTACAAAGTTGCTCTCAAAGGCCCTTCTTACCATGACAAAGGGCCCAACCATTCACGATCCGCCAGAATGGCAGACAATGAACTTGCTGCGGTCCACCCAGCTCATTTTCATATGAACAAATGGCATTACACTTGGCAATGACATTGTTCTAAATACGAACATGGCGCTCCTCTTTCTTCGTGGAGCTCAAGGTGTCATATTAATTATTTAAATCTGCAGAAAATTTCCAGCTCTATTCCTCCAAGGCCTTACCCAGTGCCAGAAGGTCTGGAATCTGCATTAGTTTTGTTAATTAGAGCTGAAACAAGGCTTTGATCTCAATGAAAATCAGAAAAAAGTAAAGTTTCCAGAATGAATAATTTTCTTTCTAACCTATTTTTCTGCAACGATTCTTTTTCCCAGTCTCACGCATGTTTATTCCTGCTGTGTCAAAGTTTGATTTAACTGCAGATAATGGTAGACGTAAGGTCAAGGGTTTGCAGTTAACCAGCTTTATAAGGTCAACTATGCATGCAATCACAATACTATTTGCACTGATTCTGCAAATTGACAACAATAACTGTAAATATGTATAAAATACTTTTTTACAGTAAAAAATCATTTCAATTTATTTTTAATTAATAGTCTTTTTTTTTAATGCACACTTGAATCTTCCGTTTTCTCAACACAACATACTTTGTTGACTCTCCCTCAGCGAGGGTCAGTTTAATCAACGTGCTTACCGAAATAAGTGTTTGTCCACTCAGACAGCGTGGCCAATTTGGTCCCGCTTTATCTGCAGCTTAGATGGAGATCAAACTCCCTCATCTCCCGGTTTCCCCCTTCTGTCTTTCAAATCTCTCTGTTTATGTATACCCCCTCCCTCAGCAGCCCACGTAAAGATTTAACGTTGGAAAGTGAAATAATTACACTGGAGCGCAGCTAGCCCATGGCACCGGGGCTTGATGTTGACCCTCCGAGCCCCGGAGTCAGCCCTCTCCCAAAGCTCACGCAAACAGGCATCAATGAATACAAAGGATTGAGGGGATTAGCCCATAAGACATTTGGTAGGCATTGTTCTCTAGCCGTAAATGAGTTTCGCCAGTCGCATGCGGCACGGGCCAAAGTCGGGACATCTCTGTGAGGAATTCTTATAATTAACCCTCTCTCTCTTTCTCTCAGAGAGAAAAAAAAAAAGCTTTGGCCTCTGAATCCTGAATCTTGGACATTAGCAATTGAATAGAGAGCTTTCATACTGTATATCATTTTAATCTTTCATGTTTAATGTTTACAGATGGCTTATTATCAGCAGAGATGAGGAGAAAGAGAGACAAATGGTCTTGTCTTTTTTAGGTAGAGATCAGCAGGAAAATGGCATTCATATAGGCTGAGCATTGGATAATTTTATATGTGGCTGTTCTGAGCTGCATCCAGCTTCTGCCTATAAATCATAAAACTATTAATAACAGACAGATGCAGGTCCAAAGAAATGATGTGCCGTTTGATGGGGAACAAGACATATGGGTTAGAAATGGAAGATATATTATCGCCACATAATGTCATATATCTCATCCCAGTTTTGTGAAATATTATGTAAAAATGGCTTTACTTTTTCCCAGCATAATCCATGTATATGAATGTGGAATATGACCATTTGTGCTGCACACTGGACAACGTTTAATTTAACATGAAGATGAAAATATACTAAAAATGAACTTGCAGAATAAATGTATGCGTTTATATTTTAAAATTAAATTTTTCTTGTAAGTCATTTTTATTTATATAGATAAGGCCATCCATAATTTACCATTTTAGTATATTCAGAAGCATTTTATTGAATCAATTTATTGCAAGATACACTGGTGGATTCTATGAGCTCTGGATCACTTGGCCAGGTTTAATAATTGAATTTTTCTAAGATCTGGTAATGACATACTTTGGCAGACGTGTAATGGTGTGATGGTATTCAGGGTGGTGTGTCTAGGGGGGTGGGGGTCTCTCCTCTGTTTATTTCATCTCTGTGCACTTTGCATTTGGCTGTCCCATTCGCCACCTCTCTGTCGGCCCTCCAAAAGGAAACAATAAGGTTTAATCTCCTCCACTGACAATGATGCATGGCGGGATGAAAAACACTTTTCAGGTGTTGTCATTAAAAAGCCATTTCTCCATAGCCCTGGTGAAAGAAACCCAAAGAAAGGCCCCAAACTGTAATGCTTTAATACCCCTCAAGCTTTTCATTGGCATCTGCAGAGAACAAGCTGTCGGGATTGTCTTCTCTTTTTCAATTACCTGATCTTTTCAACTTTCTTCGAAATGAAAAATGCACCCACGGTGGAGCTGTGGTGCAGAATCCCCGTCCCTGTTTCCAACTGTTCTCATTCTGTGTGTGTGTGTGTGTGTGTGTGTGTGTGTATGTGTGTGGTGTGTATAAGTTTCATTTTATCAAATTCTTATTGTTTATGAGCTGTTTAGCTAGTGGTTTTGAGCTGCTATAACAGGTTTGTGTTAATTCCATCCTGAAGCAGATTCGTTTTGAAAATAAACTTGTTTGCAGAGTCCAAAATTTACACCCGTCAAGCAGCAAATGCAAGTAAAATTGGGTTTGCAAGAGGCCAGTAACTTTATTAGGAACCACAACATTATAGGGGAGGCCATGGGTGGTTGTAACATGGGGTACAGTAAATTGTAACACAATTTGACCACTTAGTAATAAGATAATCCATATCAGTACATAACCAACATCCTCCTGAAGTGACAGTAGAAGTATTAGTACCTAATTAGAAATTAGTACCTAAATTACATAGAAAACATAGAAAAATTATAATAATTTTTTTCTGAAAGTATGTGTAGCAATATAAAGTACAAAATACAAAAAATACAAAAAATAATAAAATCAATTTTGAGGTAGAAGACATTCGTGTGCACACACACACACACACACTGTCTGTTATGTTTTTAATTGTTTGATCATATTTCATGTATTTGTTCATCATAATATTTTTTCTAACTTATTAGCTGTTGTAGAATAGTATTTTCCTTTTTGTAACCTTTTTAAATGAAAATGCTTAAAATTAAATGGTGTCTCTTTGGGGGAAGGAGTTAAGGTTGGTATAAAAAAAATGGTTTTGAACAATTACAAAAAAATAATTACATGCACAGAATTTAAACTCATGTCAATGTTATCTATAGTGGTACATCTCACCCCACCTGTTACAACTCACCCAGGTAATGGTGGAGGTTGTATAAACAGCACTCGTTGTACTTGAATTTATTTAGGGATAAGTTTAAAAACAACTTTAATTGGTAGAAAATACATCTGAAAAAATTATATGAAAGTCAATCATATAATAGCTCAGAAAATGTTACTCCCATCCCTGTTTTCCCTTGAAAAGTTGAAGTCAAATTGTGTGAGAATAATAGTGATATTCGCTGATGTAAGAGACATGCACAATTTAAATCAAAAGGATACAAACCATATCCTGAAAAAAACATGTACCTTGCTTGCACATGTATGCTTAATGATGAGTGATTCAGTTTATCAGAGCTGACTTTAGACACTTTCATGTCTATTGCTATAGCTGCAGTTTTTCAAACTTACATACTAACAGTGTTGTGCAAGTTACTTCCATTCTGTAATACATTACAGATTACTTGTTACTGTTATTTAAAAGTAATCCCTTACCTTACAATATTACTGTCTCAGAATTGTAATACATTACATGACTCTTGTATTACTTTTTAGTTACTTTCACCAAAATAACTACAGAATTAGAACTTAACATTCTAAAATGACAAAATGTACTGCAGAGCATTTTACATCCAGTAGAAAGCGAAATGATGTAGCATAATGACTGTGGCCTATCCAGGCTACTAACAATATAGTTTATAATTGGCAACGTGAAGGCTCAAGACAATGCAAGAAAGGATGACAGCCAGAATCACAAATGATCTAAGTTTGTTAAAAGTATGATAGAGGTAAAGTGATTATCTGGCAATATCTGTGAATAGTTTGGGTATATTCATATTAGACAAAACAGGACTATATGTAAACTCCAATGCCATGACAAGATGCAGATTTTTTCTTTTCTTATTGTTGCCATTATTTTATTCACTTTAAATTCAAGTGGTTCACAACACAAAACTGTCATGCACAAAGTGAGCATGGTGAACATAGCTTACGCTTTCTCAGTATAAAGTGCAATTAGAGGACCAACCCCTCAACCTCAGTCATTTTAGACCATAGAAATGAACATACAGGCTAAACATAGCCTAACTGCTTAGAAAGAAAACAGATCAAACAGAGATCTATATGCCTCTAAAAAGACTAAATTAATCCACTAATCCACTTAGGCTACAACAACAAGACAGATAGCTATTGGCTCTATGAAACTATAGAACTAGACACACTTTTCAATACAAAAATGAAATTAAAGTGCTTGGGCCTACAAGGCCTAACAGGAAATATGGCTCAGTCATTTAAGTAAAATTTGAAAAAAAAAAAAAAGGTTCAGTTAAAAAGGGAAGTCATACAACAAAACATGGAAATAAAACATTTTAGAAATACAAAACTAAAATGAAGGTGTTTGGGCCCACATGGCCTGACAGCAAATATGGCTCAATAATCAAACTAAAAAAAAAAAAAGTAATGGTCAGACATAGCCTACAGGAAAATTGGATTAAAAAAATTCTGTTTCCTGCCAAATATAAAACAGAGGTAGTGTGCAGTTGAACATGGCTGAAAGTAAAAGGGAAATTGAGGCTGTCCTTACTGCTATGGTGGGGGCTAGCCTATTCGTGTGTGGTGTGTATAAGTTTCATTTTATCAAATTCTTATTGTTTATGAGCTGTTTAGCTAGTGGTTTTGAGCTGCTATAACAGGTTTGTGTTAATTCCATCCTGAAGCAGATTCGTTTTGAAAATAAACTTGTTTGCAGAGTCCAAAATTTACACCCGTCAAGCAGCAAATGCAAGTAAAATTGGGTTTGCAAGAGGCCAGTAACTTTATTAGGAACCACAACATTATAGGGGAGGCCATGGGTGGTTGTAACATGGGGTACAGTAAATTGTAACACAATTTGACCACTTAGTAATAAGATAATCCATATCAGTACATAACCAACATCCTCCTGAAGTGACAGTAGAAGTATTAGTACCTAATTAGAAATTAGTACCTAAATTACATAGAAAAAAATTTTTTATTATAATAATTTTTTTCTGAAAGTATGTGTAGCAATATAAAGTACAAAATACAAAAAATAAAAAATAAATTAAAATCAATTTTGAGGTAGAAGACATTCGTGTGCACACACACACACACACACTGTCTGTTATGTTTTTAATTGTTTGATCATATTTCATGTATTTGTTCATCATAATATTTTTTCTAACTTATTAGCTGTTGTAGAATAGTATTTTCCTTTTTGTAACCTTTTTAAATGAAAATGCTTAAAATTAAATGGTGTCTCTTTGGGGGAAGGAGTTAAGGTTGGTATAAAAAAAATGGTTTTGAACAATTACATCTGATTACAAAAAAATAATTACATGCACAGAATTTAAACTCATGTCAATGTTATCTATAGTGGTACATCTCACCCCACCTGTTACAACTCACCCAGGTAATGGTGGAGGTTGTATAAACAGCACTCGTTGTACTTGAATTTATTTAGGGATAAGTTTAAAAACAACTTTAATTGGTAGAAAATACATCTGAAAAAATTATATGAAAGTCAATCATATAATAGCTCAGAAAATGTTACTCCCATCCCTGTTTTCCCTTGAAAAGTTGAAGTCAAATTGTGTGAGAATAATAGTGATATTCGCTGATGTAAGAGACATGCACAATTTAAATCAAAAGGATACAAACCATATCCTGAAAAAAACATGTACCTTGCTTGCACATGTATGCTTAATGATGAGTGATTCAGTTTATCAGAGCTGACTTTAGACACTTTCATGTCTATTGCTATAGCTGCAGTTTTTCAAACTTACATACTAACAGTGTTGTGCAAGTTACTTCCATTCTGTAATACATTACAGATTACTTGTTACTGTTATTTAAAAGTAATCCCTTACCTTACAATATTACTGTCTCAGAATTGTAATACATTACATGACTCTTGTATTACTTTTTAGTTACTTTCACCAAAATAACTACAGAATTAGAACTTAGAACTTAACAATGACAAAATGTACTGCAGAGCATTTTACATCCAGTAGAAAGCGAAATGATGTAGCATATAGCATAAGGCCTATCCAGGCTACTAACAATATAGTTTATAATTGGCAACGTGAAGGCTCAAGACAATGCAAGAAAGGATGACAGCCAGAATCACAAATGATCTAAGTTTGTTAAAAGTATGATAGAGGTAAAGTGATTATCTGGCAATATCTGTGAATAGTTTGGGTATATTCATATTAGACAAAACAGGACTATATGTAAACTCCAATGCCATGACAAGATGCAGATTTTTTCTTTTCTTATTGTTGCCATTATTTTATTCACTTTAAATTCAAGTGGTTCACAACACAAAACTGTCATGCACAAAGTGAGCATGGTGAACATAGCTTACGCTTTCTCAGTATAAAGTGCAATTAGAGGACCAACCCCTCAACCTCAGTCATTTTAGACCATAGAAATGAACATACAGGCTAAACATAGCCTAACTGCTTAGAAAGAAAACAGATCAAACAGAGATCTATATGCCTCTAAAAAGACTAAATTAATCCACTAATCCACTTAGGCTACAACAACAAGACAGATAGCTATTGGCTCTATGAAACTATAGAACTAGACACACTTTTCAATACAAAAATGAAATTAAAGTGCTTGGGCCTACAAGGCCTAACAGGAAATATGGCTCAGTCATTTAAGTAAAATTTGAAAAAAAAAAAAAAGGTTCAGTTAAAAAGGGAAGTCATACAACAAAACATGGAAATAAAACATTTTAGAAATACAAAACTAAAATGAAGGTGTTTGGGCCCACATGGCCTGACAGCAAATATGGCTCAATAATCAAACTAAAAAAAAAAAAAGTAATGGTCAGACATAGCCTACAGGAAAATTGGATTAAAAAAATTCTGTTTCCTGCCAAATATAAAACAGAGGTAGTGTGCAGTTGAACATGGCTGAAAGTAAAAGGGAAATTGAGGCTGTCCTTACTGCTATGGTGGGGGCTAGCCTATTCCATTATACCCCCTTGACTGAAATATCTGTTGAAGCGCATCAGAATAAGGTGCTGAAAGCGTCCATCACCAAGACGGTTGCGTTTTGGGGTGAGTACCAGACTCCCAAGGCTGAAAAGTCTTTCGACCGGTGCACTGGATGGTGTTGGTGCATTATAGCGTAGTGCAATTTTTTTAATTCTTGGAAACTGATGCAGGCTTTCCATTACCGGATCAGAATTGAAATAAGATGTCACCTCTGTTTCCACTGACATAGGTGCATCAGCCATGGCATTGGGCTGTTCATCAAATGAAAAGAAGTCATCCTCACGGGAGGTGACTGCAGCAGGTTGAGGAGCATCAATCATTGGGGTTGCAGGCTCTTCTACTGTTAGGGAGCGGCACTCAGTGGTGAGGAGATACTTGATGTGATCTCTTCTGGTTTCCTCTTTTACCCAGCGCAGTTTAAACTTGGGCAGCGAGACGGTGGCCAGTAGAGCTTCCTTGGAGTCAATTGTTGTGGCAAAGCGAGTTTTAATTGCTCCCACAATTATTTCAGGCAACCCAGTGGTCATTTGTGAAAGGCCATTTTGCATTGCTAAAGTTTTGGCCATTAGAACTTCAAGTGTTGGTTGAAGTGTCCCATAAAAACAAGTTTCCTCACCCTGTAGGATGTCCAGTGCAACACTGAAGGGCTTCATAATGGCACAGTATTCCTTCAGAAACTGGTATTCCCTGTCATTCATACATTTAATTTGAAGCTGTGTGCATAGATTGTTAATGTCAGTTAGTGGCATTTCTACGATCCGAACATATGCATCATAAAATGAGTTCCACCGGGTTACTGAGGGCACAATCAGCTTCCTTTCACTGATCTTTTCTAGGCACTCAGATGCAACTGTGGACCGGCTAGCTTTGGTCCATAGTGCTGAACACTTAGCTGTGGAACTGCGGTAAACAGCCCTGGATTCTGGGTTTGATGCCAACCATTTGCCAATCTCATTGTTGGCAATGAGGTTAAGCGTGTGAGCTGCACATCTGTAATGTGCAGGCAGCACACACAGCCCTTGCTGGGCATCCTCATCATTTCCTCCAGTGAGAACGCTGTGGAGATCGGTGAAGGCCACTTCCCCATCATCCTCCTCCACCTCCTTTTCTTCGTCCTCCTCAGATTCGACTTGTTGGTATTCCTTAAAAGCTTTAATGAAGTTGCTGCCATTGTCGGTCACACATGCTGTCACTTTTTCAGCAGTTAATCCATACTGGGAAAAAATATCCTCGAGTTCAGATGCAATTGCATCATATGTGTGCCTACCTCTGAACCTACGACAAGCGATAGCAGCCTTCTTCCGTTGCAGTGTCTCCGAATCAATCCAATGGACCGTCACCCCCAAAAAGCTCTTGTTGTAGGCAGTCCAAATGTCTGCAGTTGTTGACACGAACTGCTGTTCATCAATTGTTTTCTTTAGCTCTATTTCCATGGCAGTATAGTTCCTATCCAGTTCTTTGGCAAACGTTGTTCTGCATGGCAGTACATGCTGAAAAATAAGTAAAATACACAGATATTAAAACTCCAGTTCATGATCATGCTATGCTAAATCCCACATATGCATATTTTTATTGTCTGTTCCAATCGGATGCAAGAGCATACATTCACATTATGCTTCTGTATATAGGTCTGTTGATGGCTATAACATTTTGACTATACATTTTGACCCAGTGACCCAGTCCCCAACCCTGTTTCTGGAGATCTACCTTTCTGCAAAGTTCAGCACCAACCCTGAGCAAACACAATTGAACCAACTAATTAGGATCTGAAGGAGCACTTGATAATTAACAGGTGTGATCAGGGTTGGAACTGAACTCTGCAGGAAGGTATCTCCAGGAACTATATGATCCATACAGATCTATATGAAGTACATCAGGGATGGTCATTATTTCAAATACATGTATTTGAAATAATGACCATCCCTGATGTACTTCATATAGATCTGTATGGATCATATAGTTCCTGGAGATACCTTCCTGCAGAGTTCAGTTCCAACCCTGATCACACCTGTTAATTATCAAGTGCTCCTTCAGATCCTAATTAGTTGGTTCAATTGTGTTTGCTCAGGGTTGGTGCTGAACTTTGCAGAAAGGTAGATCTCCAGAAACAGGGTTGGGGACTGGGTCACTGGGTCAAAATGTATAGTCAAAATGTTATAGCCATCAACAGACCTATATACAGAAGCATAATGTGAATGTATGCTCTTGCATCCGATTGGAACAGACAATAAAAATATGCATATGTGGGATTTAGCATAGCATGATCATGAACTGGAGTTTTAATATCTGTGTATTTTACTTATTTTTCAGCATGTACTGCCATGCAGAACAACGTTTGCCAAAGAACTGGATAGGAACTATACTGCCATGGAAATAGAGCTAAAGAAAACAATTGATGAACAGCAGTTCGTGTCAACAACTGCAGACATTTGGACTGCCTACAACAAGAGCTTTTTGGGGGTGACGGTCCATTGGATTGATTCGGAGACACTGCAACGGAAGAAGGCTGCTATCGCTTGTCGTAGGTTCAGAGGTAGGCACACATATGATGCAATTGCATCTGAACTCGAGGATATTTTTTCCCAGTATGGATTAACTGCTGAAAAAGTGACAGCATGTGTGACCGACAATGGCAGCAACTTCATTAAAGCTTTTAAGGAATACCAACAAGTCGAATCTGAGGAGGACGAAGAAAAGGAGGTGGAGGAGGATGATGGGGAAGTGGCCTTCACCGATCTCCACAGCGTTCTCACTGGAGGAAATGATGAGGATGCCCAGCAAGGGCTGTGTGTGCTGCCTGCACATTACAGATGTGCAGCTCACACGCTTAACCTCATTGCCAACAATGAGATTGGCAAATGGTTGGCATCAAACCCAGAATCCAGGGCTGTTTACCGCAGTTCCACAGCTAAGTGTTCAGGTGCATCAGCCATGGCATTGGGCTGTTCATCAAATGAAAAGAAGTCATAATCACGGGAGGTGACTGCAGCAGGTTGATGAGCATCAATCATTGGGGTTGCAGGCTCTTCTACTGTTAGGGAGCGGCACTCAGTGGTGAGGAGATACTTGATGTGATCTCTTCTGGTTTCCTCTTTTACCCAGCGCAGTTTAAATTACACTACTGCGTTACAGGAAAAAGTAATACGTTACTGTAATGCATTACTTTTGTAACGCATTACTCCCAACACTGCATACTAATGTCATACTGAATTGTTGGACATGCACTCCAGTATATTGTATGAACACAAACTATGATGATGAAATATTGTGCAAAAACAAGTGATTTTGAATGCAGCCCGTAAATGGACTACAAACTCAAGAATTCGATGTAACCTGTCAAACCTTTCGAAACATAAATGAGCTCCTGTGGGCTTCTCACTATTAATTTGTAATCCAATTTAAATCTGGCATTGATATCATCCCTAATGCATCGCTGAAAATTAGATGATCGTTTTATTTCTCGCAAATCAAGGTGAAGCTTTTTACCTCCCTCTGAAAAAGAATAGATATGTATAGTTTGAATTCAAGCTGTTAAAAACGACCCACTGGAGCCCTGTGCAGTCTCGCATGTCGCTTAAAGGGGTTATATGATGTTGCTAAAAAGAACATTATTTTGTGTATTTGGTTTCGGTGGGCGGGCTTGAGTGAGCGGCAGCGGGCGGGCTGGAGCGGCTGGCAGGATTGCGGCAACCACATGTGACGACCCCGGGCTGGACTCCGCTTCGTCCAAGGTGAAAGCCAATCCGGCGATCCACAGCGAGGAGTTGATGTATTTTGTGATTGGCCGAATACCTCAAGCGTGTAATGGAAATGTTACGTCCCTTACCATACTGTGATGGAGAAACGAGACAAAAACATTAAAACCCGTTATAAATGAGGCATTTGTTGCATCCAGTGGGGACATAATTACGGATTGTAATTACTTATACTTTCTTTTTACGCGTTGCGTTGCATCGCGCCGCGTAAACATAAAACAGAGAAAGGAAAAATTGAAATCGCATCATATGACACCTTTAAGACGTCTGACACCTGTATCATGGTGAGTGTTTTGACCTGACAGGTGCAGGTGGTTAAGTGCGCAAAATGTAATCCATGCGAATGGGGCATGCGCTTTGGCAATGAGATGTCGTTTACGAGATCACAGCTCTGCAAATATTTATGTTACATGAGATGAGATTAAAGCAAGCTTCTGTGAGAGTGCATGAACTGCAGTACAGATCAGATGAAGAAATGCCATCTTCTCTTTGAGCGCATCCATACAAGTTCTTTTATTCTACAAAAGATGCACAGCATTTTGCAAAACAAGTGTGGGTTTACACCCCTGCAGTCTTGTGCCAAAGCAGTTGCATGATGCTTTGGGGCAAACAGTGATACAAAAACCTTTTGATTTCAAAATGAAAAACAAAATGTGTATTAGTGTGTCTGTCTGTTTTTTTCCCCTCCCCTTTGTGAGTTTGTTCTGTGTGTGTGTGTGTGTGTGTGTGTATGGGTGGGTTGACTGCTGCTGAAACTACACTCTCTCCGTTCCTTTCAAAGACGAGAATTTCTTTATTATTCAAAGCCAGATGCATCCACAAGGGTGCCATGTTTTAACAACTGGTTGAAGTTCAGACTTTCAGACTGATGCACATATTGAAACGCTGATGTGGGGGCGTACAGATGCACGAGACAGATGAGAGACGTGAGGAAGAAAGTACGAGAGCATCTCTCTTCATCTCCCATCTTCCTGGAGTCTTAAACCTTATATATGGCTGTTTGAGCTTATTATAGGTATAATCCTAATGAACATGTGTTTTCATTTAAGCAAGCTTTGTAAGGAACACCTCGGCAAACTAACGCCTCTGAGTGCAACATCAAACGGCAACACAAATCACAACTGCACTACTTTCTTTGTAAAGGTGCTGTTTGTGTTGGTTTAACGCCCCCGTGTTGTTGCGACTCCGCTTAATTTCCCTCCAAACAAGTCACTTTATTTATAACAGCAAAAGTCTCCAGTGGCTAATTACAGCATGGCTCCTACAGTTAGAGGAGCTGCACCCAAAAAATGAAGTGACGTTTTTCCAGTGCTGTATTTGTATCTCGAAAAGGGCCTGTGTCAGAGTTCCACTCGTTGCAAGTGTTTGGCCAACAAATCACTTTACACAGCTGCATGAAAGTGAGATCACACAGTGGCAAGGTTGCTTCCTACTGTGCCATATTAAGAGGATCTGAAGAGTCTGTGAGAGCAGGGCTGGATCATTGGATCTGTACTGAGCTCCAGCACTTAGTAGATCATTAGCTGGAGTTTTATTGGAAAGTACACACACACAGTTTTAGGGTAGTCGTGATGTCGGCCGCAAGATGATATAGGTGCATTTGGGCAGTAGCAAACATGTAGGATATACAGTATATAATGGAGAAAGGTAGCCTATCTGTTAGCATGGCAATTAATCTTAACAGGAAGTATGTGATTTGAAATCTACCATCTTTAATCATGCTGTTTTGAGACAATCACCTGAACTTATATAGCATGTGACTATTCACTCTACAACTACAGGAGAAATAACATCATGACAATCCTGACTGGCTGATGGCACCACAAGATCATGCACAGTTCTACACCTCGCTAGCGGCTCTCCTAAGCAGTGAGGTCAGAGGAAGTCCATTCCACACTTTTATAGCCCTCCAAAAACTGGTACTGCACTGGTAAAGCTTCTACTATAGTGTAATGAAATATTTGGGAATTAATGTCGCTTGCTAAAAATAATTTTGCAGCCAGATGGCATAGTTAAAATATCTACCAGCATGGGGTACAGTGTAGTACAGAAACTACATATAGTTAAGCTATTAGTTCTTTTCAATGAATTGGCCAAACGGGTTGAACAAAACGGGTGCTGGATTAAAAGTTTATATATAAAAATGTATACATATATATATATATACTGTATATCATACTTGTATATATATCATCAAAGAACCCTGAAAAAAGTATCAGATTCCAGAAAAAAAAAAAAATTATATATATATATATATATATACAGTATATACACTCTGTGTGCATTGAATTTATTTAATACACGAGTTTCACAATTTGAGTTGAATTACTGAAATAAATGAACTTCTCCACGACATTCTAATTAATTGAGATGCACCTGTATATATGTATTTAGTAGCAGTATCAACATTGTTAATAAGAAGAAATATTTCTTGAGCACCAAATAATAGAACAATTTCTGAAGGATCATGTGACACTGGAGTAATGGCTGCTGACTTTACGGGAGTAAATTACATATTAAAATATTTAGAAATATATTCAAATAGAAAAGTTATTAAAAATTGCAATAAAAAATATTTTCCCCCCTTTTTTTTTTGTTGAAACACTGCATGAGGCCATAGGCTCTGACTTTTTACTGCATTTTTGATCAAATAAATGCAGCCTTCGAGAGCATAAGACATTTTAAAAACAATCTTACTGACCCCAAACTTATGGTGTTTCCATGGTACAGTGATGGTATCAAATTTATATATTGTGGTGCTTTGACATATCATTAAATTAATTTCAGAAGTTTGTGGTATGTCATATAAACAAGATGCACACAGCATCTGACAGTGTAGTTTTTAATCTTTTACCTCTTTTGAAAATATCTTTTGTGTTCTCATAAACATGTATTAGCTTGGCAATGTAACTAGCTAATTTCTCTCTCACTGAGCTTATTTTTCTCTAGAGTAGCTGCTAGCTTAGCTAACTAGCCCTGTACACGAGTATGTACATGAGTGAGACGTTTGGGAAAAAGTTAGCTCAGAGCCGGGCTATGTGCAGTATGTGTCATTAATGTGCTCCCAGGACAGCAACCACTCCTAGTCTCTCGCTTAATG